CGACATTGACTGGCTAACTAAGCTCTTCAACAAGGTGTTGAGAACAAAGAAAATAACAGATGAATGGAAGAAAAGTATTGTGGTACCTATTTATAAGAGCAAATGAGACATACAACATTATGCGAACTATAGAGAGGTCAAACTTATGAGCCACATGAAGCAACTGTAGGAGAAACTGATTTAGCAATGCATAAGGCATGAAATAAGTGTACTAGGAAAACTAATTCGATTTTCTGCCACGGTGATTAAGAATTGAGGATATTTTTCTACTTAGACAATTGACTGAGAAGTTTAAGATTAAAGGAAAAGGACTCCACATGGTCTTTATTATCATTATCTACAAAAAACTTATAATAGAGTACCTCGATATTTAATTTGGTGGGCGTTGGAAAATAAATGAGTCTCTCGATAGTATATCGACTTGGTGAGAGGTATGTACAAGGGAGAACTAACTACTATGTGAATTATTAGTTGAGAGACAAGTGAGTTTTCAGTAATAATAGGTTTACATCAAGGGTCAATGTTGAGCCCATACCTCTTTATCTTAATTATGAATGACCTAACGAGGTACCTATCAGACGAGGTATCATGGTATATATTATTAGGGAATGTCATAATTTTAATTGATGAGACCCGAAGCAGCATCAACATAAAGTTAGAACTTTAGAGGGATGCTCTAAAATCTAAAGTTTTTGAAATTAGCCAGGCTAAGACGAAATATTTGAAATATAAGTTTAGTATTCATAAGAGTAGAGTTGAAGAAATATTTAAGATTGACAGCCAAGAAATACCAAAAGAAATGCACTTTCAATATCTTGGGTGGATAATCTAGAAAAATGGAGAGACCGAGGAAGATGTCGTACTTAGAATTAGAGCTAGGTGAAGTGAAGATGTATAACTGGAGTTTTATATAGTCTGCGCTTACTAATGAAGCAAAAGGGATAGTTGTAGAAAAAAATTATGAGACCAACATTGCTTTATGGGGCAGAATGTTGGGCGGGCAAGAAACACCATACCCTTAGGATGAACGTAGCTGAGATGAAGATCTTGAGTTGGATGAGTGACAAGATAAGAAGGGATAGAATTCAAAATAAATACAATCGGTATAATTTAGGTGAGCAATAAGATGAGAGAAAGTAGACTTAGGTGGGCCGGGCTTGTACAATATAGGCTCAGTACAACACCTGTTAGGAGGTACGAGTTGGTTAAAGTAGAAGGCTACAAAAAGATAAGGGCTGGCGCAAAAGGACATGATTGGAAGTAGTGATAAAATATATGAGAACTTATGGCCTCACTGAGGGTATGACTATTGATAGAGTAGAATAGTGCACCGAGATTCATGTAGCTAACCCAAATAATTGGAAGAATTCTTTGATGATGATTATGATGAATGTTGAGGGATATAACCTCTTCAATCCATATATTCACTATTATAATGATAATAATAATAATAATAATAAGCGTTCAGTAGATAAGGCTATGGTTGAGAGAATGCCTTCATAATGTGATGTTTTTTTTTTTTGAGAAAATGCAAGATTCATTAACACAACGAAAGTACAATACAAGAAAGCAAAACAAACAGCCTCAGCTTCAATAATGTGACATTGCTGGCTATCAACTCTAGGTGGGGTTGAGCAGCACAATATTACTCCAAGCATAGCTAGTAGGGGTGGCAATCGGCTTGGGTGAGTGGGTCGTCCTGGACCAGTCATGAGTCTGGGTTTAGGTTTTGGACCCAGCGATGGGTGCAGATTGAAATGACTTGGACGGGATTCAGGTTGGGTTCAGGTTGATGCAACCTGACCCAACCTGGCATAATATATATATAATGAACGGGTTCGGGTCCAACGACTTGACCCGTTGCCACCTTTAGTAGCTAGTAAGGGGCGTCCTATATTCCATTCCAAAAATGAATTTGAGACCTTTTATTTTAATGCTTTAAAAATTGTATGCTGCAACACTATTTGCTTTTTTTGGAATAGAAAAGTAACAACTACGCTAACAATCATATGCACAATCGAGGGGCCACTATTGATAAATGCATGGGCGATCATGGGCGATACTTGCAAGCAGCAGTGAAGGAGACCTTACGGTTGCATCCACCTGGATATGTCATACCAGGGCACACACAGGTACTGATAAATGCATGGGCGATAGGTAGAGATCCTCAGATGTGGGAAAACCCAACAACCTTTACTCTAGAGCGATTCATGGGGTTGAACATCGATTACAAAGGGAGAAATTTTCAATATATTGCATTTGGGGCACGGCGGAGGTGTTAGAAAATAGGGAGGAAGAAGGATTCCTCGAATTTGTAGTTATGCACACAAAAGAGCTCAATTCAACACAATTTATTTACTCTACTTGAACAGAAACATAATACATGTATATATAAGCCACTTAAAAGCTTTCTAGACTCTTTCTACACCATTCTAATGAAGTTTTCCCTCTCATAACTTACCACCTATATGCTTGGACGAAACTATAAGATTATTCAAGAAAATTCTGGACTTCACTTATTTTCAATTCAAATTTGCATGTATTGCATGTTTTGGACACATCTCTCTCAATCTTCAAACTCTTCTATCTCAATCTTGGAATTGTGACCTTGAAACTCTACACAATTCTTTTACATCATTCTAAAATTACCATTAACATAACTTTTCCAAAATATCCCTTACATTTAAATCTAACACCGAAAATACCTTTGAACATAATCGAGCTTATTTTTAACAAGAGGATATGCCCTTGTCTTCCTCTGGGGTTCGTATGGTGCACATATTACTTGCTTCGTTATTGCATTCTTTCGATTGGGAGTCGTGATGGGTTGAAACCATGATATGAGGGATAAGTTCGGGGTAAGATTGCAGAAAGCCATTCCTTTGGAAGTTGAACCGATAAAATGCCTAGGAGGGGTAGCTACACGTTGAGTAAGCCCATGTGTTGACGGTTGTAGTAGCATGATATTGCGTTTTCAATTTTATGAGATTACACTAGTAATGATATACCTTTCAAAAATATATCTCTATTAAATCAATATAATGACAAGATGAAAATTCTACGAGCTAATAATGACATGTGAATAATACTTTTTTTGAACATTTATGTAATCTTGGTATTATACGCCAAATATTACGTGTTGGGATACCTCAACAGAACGGAGTTGTTGAAAGGAAAAATAGACGTCTTTTAGAAGCTTCTAGGTTTTTGATGTTTTAGATGCATGTTCCATAAATTTATTTAGTTGAAGCTATCTTAACTGCCTGTTATCTTATTAATAGACATCCGAGTAAAATTCTTAAAGACAAATTTCCTCTTGAAGTTATGGAAAATAGAAATTTTAATTTGTCCTATTTGCATATCTTTGGGTGTGTGTGTCGTATGTCCTAGTAGATGTGTCTTTTTTGGATACTCCTCCACTAAAAAGGCATAGAAATGTTATGATGCCACAATGAGAAAAAACTATATTTCTAAAGATGATCAATTTGTTGAAACTGAGTCATATTTCAATGAGACCCTGGAGAAAGTTTTGAAAAATAGGACTTAGTATTAGTACTAATGATGTGTCCAATACACCGGGAACAAGCCATATGGAAGAAAATAATCATAATGATCAGGATAAAATTAAATATACCTGGAAAACTCAATAAGTTAGTTTGAAAAATAGTCATGAATTCCAGTAGGTTTTATCCTCATATAATGTGGTCCAGCACACCTTGTGTTGGACCGCATTGTATTCTAGTAACCCTCTTTGCCCATAATGAAGTCTGGCACACTCCTTGCCGGACTGAAAAAAAAAATTCAAAAAAAAAAGGAGAGAAATGATGATGGAGGGTAGATAGAGAAAGAGTGAGGGAGGGTAGAGAGAGAAAGAGAGATAGAGAGAAATGGATAGAGAGAGAAAGAGAGAGGATGGGTGGAGAGAGGTAGAGAGAAAGTAAGGATCATAATTATCTTTGGGTGTATTAAGGATGGTATACAATATGAATTCATAATCATATTTAGATATTTGAAATCTAAAAGTGGGTTGTGACCTTGTTGCCAATAATTTGAGTATATATTGGCAAATAAAGGGTAAAAAAATAATAATAAGGAAGCTCATAATGAGGGTGGCAATAGACCCAACTAGACCCGGGACCCTGCAGGTACAAGTACGGGTCAAACTTTTGCACCCGACTGGTCAGGTCTAGGTCCAAAACTTGGACCTAAATACATTCGGGTTTGGGTCTGGGTCCAGTCGGACCCAACCCATATCTGATCTATTGCCATCTTTCTTAGCGAGTGGGCCACGTGACTGAAAGGACCAAGAGAGAGAAAAGGAGAAGAAATGGAAAAAAGACAATTTGTCCCAAAATGAATTGATTATTTGAGTGGAGAGTCACTGCAAGAAAAAATATTGTTGGGGTTTAGGGTATAATACAAAAAAATATTGGGACCTAAGATGAGTAGAAGGTTGATTTTGAGGTATATATAATTTTCATTTAATTTTTCAATTTTTTTTTCCATTATATTTTTAACCTCATTTAGATATGTTTTTTTATTTACATTCAACATAATTTTTATTTTTTTGGGATTATTCTTGAACTTTTTATTTTTATTTTTTCATTTTTTTCCTAGTTTAGTGCCTGCTAAACTCGGGCTTGTTCTCCAGCCCAATTCCGGGATATCCGGGCCGGGGGTCGGGTCGTGAATTCTACATTGCCCCGTAGTGAAAGCAACGCAGACCTGCCCGTTGACATGAAATGGGAACGCTAGAAGTTGGGAGGATGATCCTACGTTCAAAAATAGAATGATGATGATAACTATGTTGAGGAAAAGCTACAGGGTCCCAAACCAGAAATAGAGAGACGGCACGAAATAGACAACGATGACAGTAGCTTTCCGTATCTCATTCAAACACGTTAGGATTTAATGCATAATTTGATTGAGAGAGAGACAGATAACCACAAGAAATAAACTCTCCTGCTTCTGTGAAATTAAATCAAAGGCAGAAGAGGACAACCCAGTTAGCTCAAATGGGCATTTCCTATATTAATGGAACAAAAAGGAAGAGAGAGAGAGGAGAGATCGTTGTTCCCATTGATGGAAACAAAAGCCATGGAAGAGTGTACGAGAAAAGTGATGCAAGTGAGATAATAAGAGAGAAAAGAAGAAAGAGAGAGAGCGTGGAGAATGGTTGGGCTTCACTAGTATTGCTCTTGCCACTTGTGATGTACTTCTGCTGGGAAAAACTAGTGCCCAATAAGTCCGGCAGGCTTCCTCCCGGCCCGACGGGCCTCCCCATAGTGGGCAGCCTCCACAAGCTCGGCGCCAAACCCAATGAGGCCCTCACGGCCCTTGCTAGGACGCACGGCCCCATCATGACCCTCCGACTCGGCTTCCTCACCACAGTCGTCGTCTCCTCCTCAGACATGGCCAGAGAGGTGTTGCAGAAGAATGACCAGGCCTTTGCAGGGCGTGTCATCCTTGATGCCGTCACGGTCGATTCCCACCACAACTTCTCGATTGCATGGGGCCAGGTCGGCCCCTACTGGCGCACCCTCCGCCGCCTCTGCAACACTCAGCTCTTCACCACCCAGCGTCTTGATGCCCTCCAGGCCCTCCGCCACCGCAAGGTCCATGAGCTCCTGGAGCTTGTGGATCAGTACAGCGATGCTCGGAAAGCAGTCCACATGGGCCGTATGGCCTTTGTCACTTCGTTGAATCTGTTATCGAACATGATCTTCTCATCGGACATGGTCGATCCCCAGTCCGAGTCTGTGGGGGAGCTGAAGGAGCTCATATGGTCGATCATGGAGGGGGTTGGGACCCCTAATATTGCAGACTATTTCCCATTCCTCAGGCCTTTGGACCCTCAGGGAATCAAGCGCAAAAATATTGTTCAGGTGAGGAGATTGCACCAGCTGCTAAATGAGAAAATCGATGAGCGAGTGGGGGCTCGAGAGAGAGGGCAACCCATTTACGGTGACTTCATTGATGTCCTTCTCGATTATTCCGATCAGGAGAGTGGTTCCAAATTCAGCCGCGCAGGGATCTTGGCGCCGCTCGTGGTAAGTTCCCCATCTTTGTGATCTCTCTTTTTTCCATTTTTTTTTTGGAAAAATATTGGTTCCTGTGATAGTATCTTTGGCTTCCCCTCTACTAAAAGGGTAAGCGACATCCATACGGTTTGGAGCTCGCATGCAGCTATCATTGATATCGTCAGCATTTTAGGTTTTTTTTTTTTAATTAATTGGGGTCGATTATATAATTCCTGTTTCTCCAAAATCTTTATATATTTTCGGACTACTTCCATCTAGGTCCTTTTGACCTTCCACTTGAACTACTTTGTATGCGGATATCCAAGGAACTAAATTGTACATTGAGATTGGATATTATAAGATCATTTATTTTTTGTACTAGGAACTCGTAATTATTATTAGCTATTAGAGGTGATATTTAATTGATTGAAGTGTGTGGCAACATTAGAAAATTTTTATTTTTGACACATCGCCTAACTAATGACACATGGCTAACCACTAGATTTCATGTCCAATAGTCAATAATAGTTGTGATCTCGTTGTTCCAAAAGTAAATGATCTTATTATATACATTTTATTGTACATTTATTCCCTACACAAAACCACCAAGCCAGTGGCACACAGATAGAATTGTCTTATTGCATGATCTATTTTAAGAGAAAAAGTATTCAAATTATTTTGGAGAAATTTACAGGTATATTTCTTAAATTCTTGCTACTTAAAACATCCCCCAACTTCTGTTCCCAACAAAAAAATTGGATTGTGAAGATCTAGAGCAAATCCAAAAACAAAATTCAGATATTGAATGTCCAAAGTTACTTGAAAAATAAATTTTGGATCTTAAAGGTGCGGAGTTTATTAGAATCCCATCCTACAAAGAGTTTACTTTTAACTTATTATCATTAGATTCTTAAACTTCGGATCTTCAAGGTCCAAAGTTTGTTTTTCAAGCTAAACTTCGAATCCTTATGAATTTTTTCTACAATCAAAGTTAAACTTCAGACTTTTGATTTCAGAAGTAGGGGCAATTTGATAAGAATATAAAATTAAAAATATTAAAAAATAAATAAAAATTCTGGGAGATTTTTAAAATAATAGAGAATATAAATTTTGGGAAATATATAAATATTATTTTATGCACAACATTCCTAATCCGACTTTACAAGGAATAGACAGTCAGTTTTGAGTGGCGGTACTTTCGAATTCTAATTGTTGGCAATGGGTTGTGTGGCCCAACCCTCTATTTTCTTTATTTGTTTCTTCATTTGTTTAACCCTTGCCTATGGGGGACGTGGCTGCCCTAGTTAGGGGTGGCAATGGGTCGGTAGGATTCGGGTCGACATAGACTCCAACCCGATGTGACCCAACTCGGGTCTAGGGTTTTGGACATGGAGCTGACCCACTGGGTTTAAAGATTGGACTTAGACTTGACCCACTCCGAGTCAAGTACCTAACAAAAAGTTGAGGCATCCTATATTCCAATTGTAATATAGGATGCCCCCGTAATGGTTAGTATGGGGCATCCTATATTCCAATTCACAAATGATTTCGAGACATTCTATTTTAGGGATTGTGTGCTATGACATAATTTATTTTTGGTATAAGGAGTTCACAATCATTTTTAGCCATTTGATATAAAATTTAATAGACTAAAGTGTTTCGCAATATTCGAGAAAAATTATTTTGGACTTTATGCCCAATCATTGACACAACCCGTTGCCCCTCGTAATAGCTAATAAGGACCCTATATTCTACTCCAAAAATGAATTTGAGGCCTTCTGATTTAGGGAATATGTACTATGAGACAATTTACCTTCGGTACAAGGAGGTCACGATCATTTTTAGCCATTTGATGTGAAATCCAATAGATTAAAGTGTGTAACAACAATCGAGAAAATTTATTTTAGAATTTCTTCCCAATCAATGACATATCTTCAACCACCCAATTTTAAATCTAAAAGTCAATAATGATTGTGACCTCCTTTTATCAAATTTAAATGGTCTCATTATATACATTTCCTATATTTTATTACTTTCAAAATTTTATGCTTCAGCATCATTTGCGTTCGATGAAATATAAAAGAAACAACCACCCTACCAATCATATGCGACATCGAGAGGCCACAGTTGCGTAACTTCTATGCAGGATCTTTGAGAAAATATTTACACCCTCAAAATTTCAGATCCCCAGCTGCTCACATTGAGAATTTGGAGTGGCTTGACTTTCTTGTGCTTATAGCAAATTTTCCCTCCTGTGCATTATGATTTTTTTTTCTGGAGGCAAAATTGTCCTCCCATATAGAGTATAACTTTTCTTGTGAAGATCATATATTTTCCCCTAATTTTCAGGACATGTATTTGGCAGGGAGTGATACTACTGCGACAACATTGGAGTGGGCGATGGCTGAACTACTTCACAACCCCGAAAAGATGGCCGCCGCTAAACAAGAGCTCAAAGAGAACATAGCTGGCTCAATGCACACAGTCCAAGAGTCAGACCTAGGACGACTGCCATACTTGCAAGCAGTGGTGAAGGAGACCTTGCGGTTGCATCCACCTGTGCCGCTTCTCCTCCCTCATAGAGCAGATGTCACTGTAAAAGTGTCTGGATATGTCATACCAGAGCACACGCAGGTATTAGTAAATGCCTGGGCCATAGGTAGAGATGTTCAGGTGTGGGAAAATCCAACAGCCTTTATTCCAGAAAGATTTGTGGGGTCGAATATCGATTTCAAAGGGAGAGATTTCCAGTATATTCCATTTGGGGCAGGCCGGAGGATATGCCCTGGTCTTCCTCTCGGCGTCCGTATGGTGCACATAATGCTTGCTTCGTTATTGCATTCGTTCTATTGGGAGCTTCCTGATGGGTTGAAACCAGAGGAAATGGATATAAAGGATAAGTTTGGGGTCACATTGCAGAAAGCAGTTCCTTTGGTAGCCGTACCAGTAAAATACCTAGGAGGGGTTGCTGCATAAGCTTGACACCAGTGGGAAATGTTTTAAGAATAATCGTTTTGATTAATCTTAACTTTTGTGAAATTATTTTGCCATACAATTGTCCGCTTGAACTGTAAAAAGCTTAAAGAGCAGTGTTATATGGAAACCAACTCAATTTCCCTGTTTTATTGGAGAATCAAAAGAGATATAACATGAACAGTTTTTATACAACCCTTGGCATGGAAACACTAGTAACACCAGCTAAAATGAAAAACATTACAAAATCAAATGGGTGAGCACGACACACAATTGCTTCATTCAAAGAGACTACTTCTTTGGTATCTAGTAGTGGCTAGTACATGAGTTAAAAAAGTTAATACTTGTCCGACATGCCTGTACAATTAATAATTTTATAGAAATGTGGTTGTAAGTCACTTACATTACATATGTTGTTTTGGTAGCCTCTACTGTTTACTATAGGAGGATCCATTCATGTGGATTTCTTTCAATGATTTATACCATATTTTTTAAAGGCCTATATTAGAGTACTCACATAATAGAGTAATTTATCATTGTACTTAACAAAATTTTGACACTTATATACTATTGTTTTATACATTGAGCTTTTTTTTAAGTAAGGGTATTTTTGGTCATTAGGAGGGTGATGTCATCTACATGGGGTGTGACATCACCCACTCAAAACTAAGTCCAAACATCCATTTCAAAAATATATTTATTAATAGGCCCACATTTCTACATATGCGGGCTTGGCCGAATAGAAACTGGGTCCAAAATTTAATTTTATATTGTGGAGGACTTTATAAGCTTTGAAACATCCAATAATCCGTCAATTTGAAATTATGGGTCAAACACTAAAATTATGATGCATAATTTGAAAGTATGGGTCAAATACTAAAATTTCTTAATATTCCATTTTAATCCTCCTCGAAGTAAGATGAGCAACGCAAGATGCGATATGTGGTGTGCACAACAAGATACATGTCTTGGTTATAGAATGAGCTTTCCTTTATGCCAATTAGTTTGAAAATGTATACAATAAGATCATTTATTTTTCTTACAAAGAGGTTACAATCATCGTTGATCGTTAGATTTAAAATTGGGTCACTGAAGATTTGTTATTGCTTTCAATGTCCAAAACAAAAATTTTTTGAATGTTGTGACACACTTTTATTTATTAAATTTCATATCTAATAGCTAAAAGTGATTGTGACCTCCTTTTATAGAAAATAAATGGTCTCATATTATGCAATCACAATTAGATTTTTGAAACCTCTCCACCCATTTCTAACCCAAAACCAAGTTCTAATTTCAATTAAATTCCAAAAATCCAAGAGTGATGGTAGGAACTTTATTAATACTCCCTAAATCCAAAAGTCAAAATAAGGTCGTCATGAGTTTGAGTTGAAGAGACTTTAATTCCAAGTGTAGAAAGGTTTTCATTCAAAGATTGAGTCGTCAAGAGACTTTAATACCAAGTGTTGAAAGGTTTTTCATTCAAAATTAAAGTAGTGGAATGGATTTCTCGAAAATCCATAAAATAAAATCGACGAATATTATGAACCCTTGAAGTGCCCCTCTTAAAGCCGCTTAAATGTGCTTAAAGCAGTTGGAATTCCTTTGGAAAGGTGTTCGTTCAAGGTCCACCAAGCATGGATCTTTCTTTTATTTATTTTTTGTTGTTTTGTTTTTGAGTAATTCAGTAAGGATGAGTGTTGTGCTCTGATATCACTTGTTGTGCACAAAAGCTCTAAATCTTATGGGTTGATTTTTTGTAAATATTGTTAACAAGCTGTATTTCTGTATATTTGGGCCTTAGCCCCTATGGAACTCTCTCTTTTTTGATTGATCAAGAATATATAATACCCGTATGAATATACGGCCAGTAACAATTAAAGATAAATACCAACGGTTACAAATAACTACTAACTAATCTTATCATAATCAAGAGACACCTAAAAGATATATACCATACATATACATATCTCATTATGTATTTATAATGATGTATATCAATAAAGATAAACATACTCTAATACTCCCTCTCAAACTCAAGATGTTTTTACACAAAGAAGCTGAAGTTTGAATAATAAGTTGCATAAACGAACGAGTTGGATATTTAAGTCTTCATGTGCATGGTGTGACCAATAGAAGCAGTGGTCTCTTGCTTGAAGAACAAACATAGAATGATACTTGAAAGAGCCAACAAAACTCAGTAACAAAATGGCACTTGGAAGAGCCAACAGAACTCGGTAAAGAACCGAGACAGATTCAGCAACTCGCAATACAGAACACAGGCTAGAACAAAGACAAAGGCTGTTTTGCAGAGAGTCGAAGAATGACTCGACGGATACTCGAAAAACGACTCGACGGATAATCGAAGGACGACTCGGTAGATAGTCGAAGAACGAATCGGGAGATAGTGTTGATCGACCGTTTTCAAAGGCCATTTTTAGAAGTGGATTTAGAGGCAGTTTCAGATCCGGCATCAGGGGGGAGCACAACAACAATGGTTTACCACAAGAACACAATAGAGATCAGAGAAGTCCGGGTAGATTGCAGAAGACCAAATAAAGATCAGAGAAGTGAGAGGTGAAATAGAGTTTTCACATATTGCATAGAATACATATATCATTGAGAAGACCCAAGCGCTGATCACGGAAGGCCCAAAGAAGATCATAGAGAGCCTTGCTCTGATACCATATTAAGAAACTGCATTTATGTTTGGGCCTCAGGCCTCCATGGAACTACCTCTTTATTGATTGATCAACTTTCGAACTGTAAAAATACATCAGTTTGATATTTAAAAAGGTTCGAAAGTTCGATTTCGAACTGCCCAAGCGTCGACAATTCAAACGAGCCCAAATAAGTGAATTTTCTTGTAGTTTTGGCCATTTGAAATATGGAGTAAAACAAATAAAAACATTGAAAAAATGTAGTTGGCAATACGATCCAAAAAATTAGACCATGTGATGCACAACTCTTTCGAATCTATACATGAATTTCTTATCTCCTTTTTTTCATTTTTTTTTTTTTAGCTGAATAATTATGGTGATCGAGATGATAGACGTCGATTTTTGAATTCTCAATCTGTTTACATGTTGAATTTGGAAAGTAAACTTGAATAGGTACATCATGGAGACACTTAACCTTCCCACACATATCTTGTTTTTTTGTGACAAGGACACCAGACTTATCAATGATTTTTTTTTTGACAATGACACTAGTGCTATCATTTAAATGCTTTTAAAGCACTACCTGATATATTAGTTTACTGGAAATTAGTTTAGGATGGGGTTTTTATGAGTCAACCGACTCATATTATATATATGTGGGGCCCCTCTTAAACCATCTTAGAAATTGATATTCAATCTAAAATTTTAGGGTTTTATGATCTAGATTAAGATTTTCGTGAACATGAAAAAAGAATTAATATTAAAATTACAATTTTTTAAAAAACTTTCTACACCCTTGTGAGTTTTTTACAAGGCCCATCTTAAAGATGGTGGTTGGAAAGTGAGCATGCTCCTGCAGCTGTTAACTCAGGAAGGAGGTTTCCATTGGTTTATGTAAACATAGTTTTCCTACCTTAAGCAAAGCAATGTACATGAATGTGCTTTCAAGAAACACGTTGTTAAAATGGACCAAAATATGGGGGCACAAACGATCTGCACTCGCTTACGTCACCATGTTCAGGCTATTTAGCTACGTGCTCTTGCTCTTACACATGAGTGGGAAATATCTATGAACATGAGCTTTATAGAACATTGAGTGGGAAATATCTATTAAAATCAACATGTATAATGCGCTTTTATATGAGCATGTTGTTCATCTACTCCCTTGGGTAGAACACATGCTCCGTTAGAAAGATTTTTAGTACTAAAATAACATCTTTCCATTAGACAACATATATCACAAAAGATATGAGAATGAGATGTATGTACATATATTCCAAATTATATTCTTTGCTTATCATGTAATATTTTTAAAAAAAGTTTACAAATGGTCAACCCAACTACATCAAGTACTATAGAAAAAGCAACATAATATTTGTTAAAAAATAGTGTTCGCACATCCAAGGAAATATAATAAAAAAACTTGACGATTTTGATGGCATATCTATAAAGTGGTGTTGGTGTTGGTGTATATATTTGATGCTCACTTATTGAGAAATAACTCTCAGAGACCTTGTTCAGATATTGAAAAATAGAAGGAAAGGATATAAAAAAAATAAGAGAGATTAGAGAGGAAGGAGGATAAGGAAGAGAGAGAGAGAGAGGAGGCTAAAGACGAGAGAGATAGAGAGGAGGCTAAGGAAGAAAGATGTGGGGTTAGAGAGAGTGGGATGGGAAAATAGTGTTTTTAGAAGTGGTTAGAGAGAGTGGGATGGGGAAATAGGGTTTTTAGTATGAAAAAAATATCATGAAAAAGTGCGGAAAAGTTTAGAAAAAGTCATGGTTTTTTTCTACGTGTAAAACATCAATAATTTTACAGTACTTTAAGTATTATAATACTTTTAAACATCTTGACGATACTTAAAATATCGTGATGCACGACACTTAAAATACAATGGTGCCTAAGTAGTATTACCGTAATTTGAGTACCGTAATAACAAAAGGTTTCTTCGTGGTATTTTAAGTACCATATAAAATCTGTCATTTATTACAGTACTTAAAGTATCATAATGATGCTTCACGGTAATACGACTATCATGAAGGATATTTTGATAAAAAACAAAAGACCCAAAATTAGAAAAAAAAAAAAAGTATAGACGAGACTTATAAAAGTTGATGATTTTTTTTCTAATTAGAAAAAAATTAAATTATATTCCTGATAAGTTCCCTTCTTATTAACTTTTTATCCTTTTTAGAGTTTCTCGTTTCTTTGCATGTGAGTTGATTAAGATGCGTTTGGAAGCCTTTGGTCCGTGAGGCAATGGGGCTCTTGATAATTTAAACCATCGATAGGAACGTTTGTGGATGTCGCTCCTTATCCTGTCGTGTGATGCACGTTGCCCAAAAAGCTCAAATCCGCACATGCAGTGCACATGCAATGCTCACATCCTCGCATGCAATGCACATTTATATGTTTGAAAAGTTAAAATAATTTATATGGATAAGAGAAAAAAATGGATTTTAAGTCTTGAAAATAGCGCATCTTGCAATGCATTTTTTAGACTGTCGATAGTGTTTATAAATCTGCTCAATCTATACTATGTTTGAAGCTTTAAATTTTATAACAAAAAATATAAATAAATTTTTAGGCCATCACAAATATTTTCAGCACTAAAATAACATCTTTTGATACTATTTGAAAATGCGCCTTCCTTTGATTATTTAGGGCCTCGGCCTTATACAAACTACACCCTTTAATAATTTGGTCCACTTAGGTGGAGCTAACCAAATGACTAAATACCCCGATTGTTCAAGATTAACAACACAAAACAAGGGTTTACATTAAAAAAATAGTAGTTCTGTATTGCTAACCCTAAATAACTAGAAATATAGCATAATTTGACAGCTCTATGTTGTTAATCTAAACAACTAGAGGTATTACGGTCATTTAGCTCAATTTACTTAAGTAAGATAAATTACCAAAATACCCTTCTTCTTTATTCCCAATGTGGAGATTTACTTATTTTTTGACATATTCTTTGAAGAAATAGCGACCTAGCAAAAAAAATTGTATAATAATGCTACTTTAAGGTTAGACGAGGGTAGATTTCTCGTGATAATCGTGCATTGACTTGGCATAACAGTATGTGAAGTAATAAATGAAATTTGGAATTAAGGGCACCATAAGCTCTGTAAATATGTAGGAGCAAAACAATTAGGTTCATCAGTCCTCACTACATTCTCTCCTTTCCACTATTAATACAATGGCTCTACATTTTGCCTCGTTTCAAACCACGAGCTCTCTACCATTTACAGGGACAACGCCGGTGCCATTCGATCAAAGTCTTCAATTCATGTACAATGTGATTTGAGCCCAGTACCAGGCAAAACCACAACTGATCGCCGGTCTGCAAATTATATGCCTACCGTTTGGGATTATGATCGCATTCAATCAATAAAATGTGTTTATCAGGTAAATCGAATGGTGATTATACGAGTTAGAAGTTGATTTGCATTATAGGAAAATTCACAATAATTTTAGGAATCGGGCTTGAGCTTTTGTGCTTAGCAGCAGGCGTTTATCAGTGCTATATCTCATGGATAAATGCATTAGATTTTCTATTATATATCCCAAAATAAATTACCATTTATAAAGTATTTATTACAGAAAGGGATAGAAATGAAATTGGATTACGAAGTCACCGAAAACTTTAGTCCCCCTCAACAAGTATCCTACTCTGAAGTCTCTCTCTATAGGGTCTTATCCTTATTGAGTGCCGCGATGTCCCTCTCCTTAGTAAATGTGTTAATAACTTAATATATGCATAATAGATTTTATAGATAGGAGCCTATACTATGCTCTTGTGGGCGTATTACTGTTCATCTACTCCCTTGGACAACAGACCTACTTGGGAGGATTTTTAATCTAAACTATTGGGAACCGCCTAAAAATCACTGGGAGATTATTTTCAATAGAGTTGAATTAAAAGTTTTCTAACGCATAGATTCCCCCTCAATAAATTGCATGGTCTTTGTTCAGTCTTGACACTATGTTTGTCTGAATTGCATAAAGAGTGAGATTTCGAATTTTTCTCTTTTTTAGGTTAGTCAACGGGTTGATAATGTTATATTCTCCGATGTGGGATCCTAAATTTTTCCTGGGTTTTATCTAAGAGAGTAAATGGATAGTATAATCCCTAGTATGGAATCTTTTGACAAGAAATAAACCATCTCATACAACGTATCAACATAAAGGCCATGTTGGGTTTCACAATACCATAAAATAAATTGGTTAATATTCATTAAGTATCCTTTAATCTTTGTTATTTTTACAGGTATTGCTTGATATATCTAGTACATATCCATTGCTTTTCAAGTAGGGCTTATTATTCGATATAATTTTCTTGATTTCAAATTCTGTATACCACCCACTATGTCCACTTATGTGTTATACTGGTATCCATGACGCATGGTTGAACCATTAACGTGACCACATGTAACTAATAATTGTTTCTTTATTCAAGACTTCTGTTCGCTTTTTTGGATTGATGGAGTTTAGGACTTTCAAGCAGGGAGAGCAATATATGAACCGATCCAAGGTGCTCAAGCAACAGCTCAACGCACTTTTAGTAGAGAGAATAAATGAACCAGTTGCATTGCTCGAGCTCATAGACTCCATACAACGATTGGGAGTGGGCTATCACTTCGAGGAGGAGATCAAAGTGACTCTAGACAACATTTATGCTAGTGGAAATATCCAGCACTCATGGAGTGATGATCTCTATAGAGTCTCACTCGCATTTCGGCTACTCAGACAACATGGATATCATATGTCATCAGGTACTTAGCAAAGACAATACTTTTATAAGTTTGTAACTTAGAACTCTGTTTATATCCCTTTTTGTTTAAAATTATAGTTTGGGTCGAAACTTGAAAAGAGTGAACAAGTAGTAGCTAGCTAGCAAACAAGAGTTTTGTTTACCATAGTGAATGAAATATGTGTCACCAGATGTATTTGGCAGATTCAAAGATGAAAAAGGGAATTTCAAACTAAGTTTGATTGGAGATGTGAAGGGAATGTTGAACTTGTATGAAGCTGCTCACCTGTGCTTACCTAGAGAATATGTAATGGATGAAGCTTGGGGTTTCACTAATAGAAATCTCAAGAAGGCTTTGATGGATCAAATAGAGCCAAGTCTTGCTCAAAAAATACAACATTCCTTAGAGATTCCCTTGCACTGGAGAACGATTAGGCAAGAGGCTAAACATTACATGGGAGACTATGCACAAGAGGATCACATGGTCCCCATTTTGCTTGAATTTGCTACATTGGACTTCAATTCAGTACAATGCATGCACCAAGAAAATCTTACAAATATGTCAAGGTAATATTTAAGGGTGCGGTTCGTATAGAGCCTAGGCTCTAAATAATCAAATCAGAGCCTACCTTCAAATAGTGTCGAGAAATGTGATTTTACTACTGGAAATCTTTGTGATAGCGTTAAAATATACTTTCATATGTATTTATGAAGTTCAAAGCTTCAAAAATAGTGTAGATCGACAGATCTATGAAACTTGAAAATCTTGAAAATTGACGGTCTAAAAATGCGTTACAAAATACACTATTTCCAAAACTTGAAATCCGTTTTTTCCTCATGCCTATGCATCTTGATGTCGAGATGATCAATTTGAAGATATTTGAGCATCAAAACAACCTCTTCTAATGAACTTTTTAAGGTAGGCAGCCTCGGCTCTATATAAACTTTTCCCATGATTTAAAGCCTACTATTGACTTTTATCCTTTTCTCATTGCTCAGCATAACTCTTGTGACCATATCTATCTAGGTGGTGGGCAGATTTGGGGTTATCAACTAACCTTCCTTTTGCTAGAGACCGGCTTGTTGAAACTTTATGGTGTACGATAGGGCTTATCTTTGAGCCTGAATTCAGCATGACTAGGGAGGCCCTCACCAAAATAAACTGCCTAATTGCATCTATTGATGACGTTTATGACATTTATGGGTCACAAGATGAATTGGAACTCTTCACCACAGCGGTTCAAACGTATGAAAATATTTGTTTCTTCTTTCCTCCTTCAGTATCCAACTATCCTGCAGATGTGCAGAGATCAAGAAACTGATTTTTTAGCTATTTTAAGAAGGAAAACCTACTCGTGTGGCCTTGGACTCATACAATCAAGTGGCTACTCCTCATTTTTTAAACCTTTTGGATGGGTGTGGAACGAAAAATTTGCCATGTAACTCTCTTGTCCACTGCTATTAATTTTTTTAAAAATAAAATAATTTTTAGGCCCAAAAACTCTCTATCTTGAATCCATTAAAATGATGGACTTTGTGTGGCGGCCGCAAACAGGTAACTGCTAAATGCACTTTTTAAAGAATGACCATCATTTTCTAAATCACTTTCAAAACGAAAAATTTCATATCAGAGTTTCGGTTTTATTTTTTCAAACTGAAGGGTAAGATTTTAAATTAAAATAGACTATTTTGCTTTTTCAACCGATAGTATTTTGGAAAAAAACTGTAATATTTCTTGACATAAATGTTTCTTAAACTGAACATACATACTGAATCAAGGGTGATTTAAAATATGGCACACGACCACCCCTCCAATTCCTCACATATAGTCCGGAGCACATAAATTTTATAGCTCTTCCATACATTTATCTCAATATAATATGGCCATGTTCAAGCATATCATTTATTGAGGAACAACATATTTTTTTCCTCCACCTATTTAAGAGTGAAAAATGGCGTAGCGCCCTGTCCCATACATCATTTCCAAGTGAAACCCTACATATTAATTTTGCTTACTAAGAAACCCTGGCAATAAAATCCTTCCTTTTTCTTTCAAACTACCCTCTTCCTTAGAAGAGTGGATGCCATGGAGAGCCTTCCAGACTATATGAAAATATGTTATTTGGCATTATACAACACAATTGATGAGATATCTTACAACATTATGAAGGAACAAGGATTGGATATCAAAAACAACCTTAAGAAGATGGTACTGTATCCTCCAATTGGTATCTTTATTATACTTAAAGAGTTACACATAGTAAATCATGTGTTGACTGTGGATTTCAGTGGGCAGAACTATGTAAAGCATTCCTGGTTGAGGCAAAGTGGTTCAAGATGAGTTATACACCGACCTTAGATGAGTACCTGAGTAATGGATGGATATCATCATCGAGGCCACTAATCTTGGTCCATGCATATTTCCTTGTTGCACAAAATATTACAGAAGAGGCAATAAATTGCATAAGCAATGACCTGAACCTCATTCGTTGGCCATCGTTGATGTTTAGACTTTGCAACGATGTGGCAACTTCTGCGGTGAGGCTAGCAATTGTCTTATAAAATTTTTATCATATGCTATTTAGCAATATTTGGGTGATACCATTTAATGATGTGATTTATGCAGGATGAGATCCAAAGAGGAGATGCAGCAACATCTATTCAATGCTACATGCATGAAACTGGGGCATCTGAGGAAGTTGCCCATAGTAATATCAAGGAGTTGATCAGAGATGTATGGAAAAAACTCAATGGAGAGTGTCTTACTCCTTCCCTCTTTCCCAAACCATATGTCAATATTGTAGTTAACCTTGCACGGGTGGCCTATTGTTTATACCGATGTGGAGAAGGCTATGGAAATCCGAACTTTGATACTAGGGAACATGTTAAGGAGTTGCTCTTTCAACCAATGCCAACTACTTAAGGATCTGTTGCAGTAGTAGTCGTATATATATATACTTGGAAACAAATAGGACCCATGTTGCATAGGCTTAGGTAGTTTGTACTTCGATTTGTACAAATAGTACTCGACAATATCAAATTTTGTGTGTGTGAGAGAGAGAGGGGGGATTTACAGAGGTAAAGTGAGATAAAAGCTGAGAGAGAGAGGAAATTTACATGCCAAATGCATGTTCAAGAGAAGGAATCATTTCTTCAACATGTCAAATGCACGTTCAAGAACATTCTGAAAAGATGAAAGCCATAGGTTGAAGAGCTCCTTTGCATTTTGTGCGGCTAAAATTCTCCGACCGTAAGCCTTCACATGATTCCTCGCAGACCGAAATAGAGCTATGACGTTTCGTGTGTTCGCATAAAGTGTGCATCATGCATGCAGTCCTACAAACGTTGTGTGATTCATGGTCTGATGTGATGCTTTGTCTATGAAAGCTTCCCATAAGAGTGAAGATATTGTGATCTGGGGTGTGTAATTAGTAGTAAAAAGACAGAGAAGCCAAAAAAAAAAAAGAAAAAACCTCCTATCTGTGTCAATTCTTGGAGTCAACATTAACCAAAAACTCTTATACCTGTCAATGCTTGGAGTTGACAAACATTAACCAAAAACTCTTACACCTGTCATTATACACAACATACAACACCTGAAATATTCAACTGAATGCATTCAAGAATTGAAAGGTAGTATTAAAATTCTAGATTGGGACTTAATAAAGCATAGAAATAAAGCTAATGCACAAACAATGACGAAATTAGCACCAACTTTACTTAAATTTGGGTCGATTTCACAATATTCGAACATTAAAAAATTTCAGAATATTCAAACAAATTTTGGCTGTAGATTAAACAAAATTTCACACATTATTACGTATACTCCAGATTGGGTGTTTACAAAAGCAAAGAGAATAGCACAGACTGAAATAATTGACCGCATTAGTATTTGATGCCAACTAAATTTTGGTCTATTTTAGAAGAATCAAACAGTAGGTCTGCTCAACAAAACCCCCACAAAATTTTACCCACACAAGCATCCATTTCTGAGCAAATTCGGTCTAACTTCTGGAGCTTGAAGCATTTCAGATAAAAAAAAAAAAGTGAATTCTTCCGTACCGTTAGCATCCACATAAAAAAAATATTGGAGAAAAAACCAAATAAATAAGCTACAATATTGAAGAAAAACCAAAATCGAAGTTCTAACAGCAGGAAAGCATGTGCAAGTTGCCCTAAAATCGCCACCATTACAGAGGAGATAACAAGGGGAAGATGGATCAGATAATAACTTACGTGTTTAGGATAAGGAATTGCACAACTTGGGGTTTTGAAGAACCATAGGTGGAGGGAACTAAGGGGTCGTTTGGATCCTAGGATAAACAAAACATGGTTTTGTAAAACCAATGTTATCCCACGAAAAAACACGTTAGGCAACTTTTTGGATACATAATCATGTTTTGTATAACAAAAAAAAAGAGGGCTAAAACATGGGTACACAAAACCAAGAAAAAAATTGAGTCATCAAAAGGTTGTTTTGTGTAAGCAAGAAAGAAGGAATACAACTTGTGACAATACTATTTTCACACACCTATACAATTAATTATGCCAAAACATTCACACAAATTAGAGAGAGAAACCACCTTACAATTAATTATGCCAAAACATTCACACAAATTAAAGAGAGAAACCACCTTAAATTTTAAATTTTAGATAGAGAAAGTTTCTTAAAATTTAAAAAAGAGAAACTATATCAAATTTTAGAGAGAGAAACTACTAAAAAAATTTAGAGAATAACTATCTCAAATTTTTTTTGAGAGAGAAACTATATCAAATTTCAAGTTTTAGAGAGAGAAAGTATATTAAAATTTTAGAGAAAGAAACCATTTCACATTTAGAGAGAGAAATTATATAAAAGATTTAGAGAGAGAACCCTTCTTATAAATTTTAGAGAGAGAAATTATATCAAATTATAAATTTTAGATGAATAAAGTATCTTAAAATTTTAGAGGGATAAAATATATCAAATTCTAGATGGAGAAACTACCTGAATTTTATTAGAGAGAAACTATTTCAAGAATTTTAGAAAGCAAAATCATATCAAATTTGAATTTTTAGAGAGAGTACATTAAAACTTTAGAGAGCAACTAATCAAATTTTAGAGAGAGAAATTACTTGAAATTTTTAGAGAGAGGAACTATCTCAAAATTTTAGAAAGAGAAAGTATCTCAAATTTTAAATTTTAGATAGAGAAAGTATCTCAAAATTTAAGAGAGGGAAGTTATATCAAATTTTTATAAAGAGAAATTACCCTAAATTTTTAGATAGAGAAGCTATCTTAAAATTTTAGAGAGAAGCTATATTAAATTTCAAGTTTTTCATAGAAAACAAATCTTAAAATGTTAGAAAGAGAACTATATCATATTTCAAAGAGAGAAATTACATGAATTCTTTTAGAGACAAAAACTATCTCAAATTTCACGTTTTAAAAAGAGATACTATCTCAAATTTCACGTTTTAGAAAGAGATACTATCTCAAATTTCAAGTCTTTCAGATAAAGTATTGTAAAATTTTAGAGTGTGAAACTATATCAAATTTTAGAGAAAGAAACTACCTAAAATTTTTAGAGAGAAACTACCTAAAATTTTTAGAGAGAAAAATATCTGAAAGGAGAGAAACTATCTCAAAATTTCAAATTTTAAAAAGAACCTCAAAATTTTAGAGATATAAACTATATCAAATTTTTAGTGAGAGAGGCACTATCTAAAAAATTTTAGGGAGTCTTAAATTCCAAGTTCTAAAGAGAGAAAGAATCTTAAAATTTTAGAGAGAGAAAATACCTAACTTTTTAGGTAGAGAAACTATCTCAAAATTTTTAAAGAGAATTTATCTAAAATTCTAAGCTTTAGAGAGAGAGTATCTTAAAATTTTAGAGAGATAAACAATATCAAATTTTAGAGAGAGAAACCACTTAAATTTTTTAGAGAGAAACTATATTAAAATTTATTGAGAAAGAGAATGTATCACATTTTAAGTTTTAGATAGAGAAACTACATCAAAATTTAGAGAGAGAAACAACCTAGAACTTTTTAGAGAGAGAACTATCTCAAAAAATTTAATGAGAGAAATTATATCAAATTTCAAGTTTTAGAGAGAGCATCTTAAAACTTTATAGAACAACACTATATCAAGTTTTAGGGAGAGTAATTACTTTAAAAAAATTTAGAGATAAACTATCTCAAAATTTTTAGTGAATGTTTTTCAAATTTTAAGTTTTACCGAGGAAAAATATTATAAAATTTAGTGAGAGAAACTATATCAAAATTTAAAAATAGAAACTACCACAAATTTTTTAGAGAGAAATTTTCAACTATCTGAAATTTCAAATTTTTAGAGAAAGAAACTATCTCAAAATATTTGGAGAGAAAGTATGTCAAATTTAAAGTTAAAGACAGTTTTATCTCTAAAAATGTTGATATAGTTTCTCTCTCTAAAAAATTTTAAGCAGTATCTCTCTAAAATTTGGTATAGTTTCTCTCCCTAAAATTTTCATACAAATTTTTATAGTGGGAAATTTTTTTTATATGTATTATTGGGTACCAAATATGTGTAACGTAATTTTCACATGAAAATATTTTGTACAATATTTCATACCTATCAAATGTGTCCTAAATACTGTAAATCCAAATTACATAACCCAAACGAGAGATTTTACATAACTTGGGTATTATCTATAAGCTATCGAAGCAGTAATTTCTCATAACTTGGGTATTATCTATAAGCTATCAAAGCAGTAATTTCTCATTGACTAAGCTTTGAGGGGTTTCCATAGCCATGTTATGATCCAAAACATGGTTTTATTTACCCTAGTATCTGAAAGCTCTAAACACAAACCCTAGAAATCGCATGTACTTCCTTGTCTCCTTTCCTTGTGAATGCCTACTCAAGTAAAAAATCGTAAAAAGCAAATTCTTTTTTAAGCGCGAAAAAAATTTGAGTTGAACGCACGGTTTTCGGCACTCTTTTGGTACAACGTCATATTTTTTAAATGAGAATAGCTTTCTCAATATTTTTTAAAAAATTTTAAAATTTTTTTAAATTTGGGTACATTCAAGCATACACTTATTTAATGAGGAAAATATTTGTAATAGCCTTAATATATATTTTTTTAATTATAAAATTTAAAGCTTCAAAAATAGGATGGATTGAGCAAATTTATAGAAACTTAAAATTTTTAAAAATTGACAGTCTAAAAATATATTTTCTTTTTCAATTATAAAATTTAAAGCCCAAAAAATAAGGTAGATTGAAACGATAAAAAAAAAAAAAGAAGTAAATCGACCAAATTTATAAAAACATAAATTTTTTGAAAATTGATCGTCCAAAAATACGTTACAAGATGTACTATTTCCAAAACTTGAAATCTGTTTTTTTTTTTTTATGTCCATGCATCTTGATGTTGCGAGGATCAATTTGAAGATATTTAAACATAAAAAAGGGCTCTAATTTGATTGTTTAGAGCCTTGGCTCTATATAAATTATCTCCGCAATGTTATTCAATTCCGTTCATACTTAGTCGTTATAAAATATCATTTATTTACTAATATTATGATCTATAATCATATCGGCGTGGATATTTTTTCGCTCTCTTTAGCCACCTATACAAAATGGCATATTTTTTAATATCGTACTAAACGTGGCAAGCGTATATCATCCCCAAAAGGTGGCTTTAAAAGATGTGATGGCTAAAATTAAAAGTTACAACAATTTGGGTGTGGTTTGAATAAGGCGCACCTTCAAAATAGAGTAGATCCAGCCGATCTCTAAGCACTTTTAAATTTTGGAAATTGAACGGTCTAAAATACATTACACGCACTTTTCAGTACTTGAAATCTATTTCTTCCTATTTCTATACAGGTCGAGATAATCAATTTAAGGATTTTTAAGCATCGTAACCTCTCCTTAATTTTGATGGTTGAGTATTAACTTTTCCCAACTTAAAAACAATGATAAAACAATGAGATGGCATCATGAAAAACGATATCTAATGTTCTCCCGCAGGAGCATATTGTGTGTATAATCCCTCACTCAAAAGACCTATTTAAAAAGTTTTATTAGTCTGAAATTTTTGGAACCACATAAAAATTATTAAATGATTAGTTTAAAAACAATAAACAAAATTGGACTTTCAATTTTGTGACAGATCTAGCCCTTCAAAAATTAGATGACCTCTATGCGCTTTTGAAGTACTAGGTTTTTGAGTTAGAGTTAATTTATGTTTTTTTCTTTTTTTACTGACATTACTCTCTAGAGATTACATCCTTAAAATTCAAGATCTAAACAGTGTTCTTAGCATTTATTTTGCCTGAAGATGTAAATGGACGGTACACTCTTGAGGGAGTAGGAAATCTTTTAGGAAAACAACATAGTTTTAAAGGATATACGACTTAGGTGATACGTATGTCTAATTCCCCTTACAAATAATACTAAAACCATATCTATCTAAAAAACCATAAATTTAAAGGAAAATGGTTTGACAGGGCTGCAGCCCTATCAAAACAAGTAAAAGGCTCACCTCATAATTCATAGAAAATTATAATTCAAGTATTAGAAAACCTTTGCATCAATTATCTTGGCTTTGAATATTATGGTTGTGAAAAAAAATATAAGATTTCAAGCTCTAAAAGTAGTATATATTGTAACAAATTTTTAGATCGCCCATTTCACCCTAAAAATAAGTTTTCATAAATCCGCAAGATCTATACCATTTGTTGAGTTTCAAATTTCATTGTTAGTATTGAAAATTGATTTTAGAGCCATCACGGATATTTTTGTTGCCTTAAGTGCTTTCTGGACAAGGATTTGGGGTGAAGCTTTATTTTGTTTTCACCTCAATGTCATCGTATATTTATATATTTTATATAAGGCGGAGACCTTAAATATCAAAATAAGGCACACCTTCAAATAGTGTTGAAAGTTTGTGCAATTTCTAAAAGACAGGCTTTCTACGCTTTCCTTATAGCATAGAAGTTATATCCTCCTTTTTATCCAACCGTCCATTCTGAATGGAGGGTTAAGATTACCCCAATCACAATGTCACGTATCTAAGTTATTTTATTTTTATTTTTTTTAATAAACTATTTTGACAACAAAATTTGGACGTCCATTCCTTTATTAAACTCGCACTAGCAAAAAATCTAAAAAAATTTATTTTCAATAAAATAAAATAACCAAAATACCTCTGAAAAATAATCAAACAATGAGTGGCTCTCTTGATCAAAATTGGACCGCTGGATGATAAAACGAAGATAGAACTTCTATGCTGTAGGAAAAGTATAGAAACCTTTCCCAATTCTAAAATGGGCACAGAAGATTCTAGGAATCGAAATTTCCTTCCAATCCTTCATTGTCTATTCTACTGAAAGCCAACATTCAAATCAATTGTCTTCTCTTTTTCTTTTTCATTTCTTTCTTTTACCAGTAATCTCTACAAGAGCAAAATCCTTCGATAAAATGGTGGAATCGTCGGACATCACAAATGATTATCGTCTTGCATTTTTTACTTTTACCAGTAATCTCCACAAGAGCAAAATCCATCGTTAAAATGGTGGAATCGTCGGACATCACGAATGATTATCGTCCTGCCGACTATCTTAGAGATGAACTTGGCAGCAGTGTGGCAATCACTGCATACTCTAAGGTTCTTACTGACACGAATCGTTGTCCCTGGTAGTGTATTGATGATCCCAAACGCCATGGCCAACTTCTCGCTGTGACCGCACAAAAGAATTTCTTTCTCGCTCTCTTCGATATCATGCAAAACGCAGGTTGTGTCAGGTACATATCCTTCCTTCCTCATTGCTTCTGCCAATCTCTTCAGTAAAGCATACAGCTTCCCGCTCTGAGGGTGAAGAGTGCCCCCTGCTAAAAACTTGTGCACCCCATCACCAACCTCTATCCAGCTACACCCAGGCTCTTTCTTTACCCCTTTGTTTTTCATAAGAGAGCGCACCTCCATTGCCTTGGCCCACATACTGGCAGCAGAATATATGTTGGAAAGGAGTACATAGTGACTAGCGATTGTTGGCTCGAGGTGGAATAGGTGATGGGCTGCTATTTCCCCTAGTTCGACATTGCCATGGATCCTACAGGCCCCAAGTAAGCTACTCCAGACCCCTGCATGTGGTGTAAATGGCATGGATAAAATAAGATGATAGGCCTCATCCAAATGACCTGCGCGACCTAATAGGTCCACCATGCAAGCGTAGTGGTCAGGTTGAGGATCTACTGAGAAGTCTCTCCCCATCCTTGAAAACACTTCTCGACCCTCATTCACAAGCCCTGAATGGCTACAAGCCGCGAAAATGGCAATAAATGTGATTTCATTGGGCCTCACATAATTTAGTTCCATTTTCTTGAACAGCTGCAAGGCCTCAGTACCATAACCATGCATCCCGTAGGCCATTATCAGTACATTCCACGTGATCAAGTTTCTCTCAGGCATTCTATCGAAGAAAATTTGCGCTAGACCTAAATACCCACATTTGGCATACATATCAACTAATGCACTCCCCACAGTTACTTCTGCCTCCAACCCATTCCGAATTGCATAGGCATGAATCTCTCTCCCCTTGTGTAAAGCAGACAGTGCTGCGCAAGCTGGGAGCACGGTCATGAGTGTAATTGAATTGGATCTATAGCCCATGTGATGCATCTCTCGAAGAAGGCCAAGTGCCTCGTCATGAAGCTCAGCCAATACAAATCCGGTTATCATGGTATTCCATGACACTGAGTCCTTGGACGCCATACCTGAAAAGATTGTTCGAGCAGTCCGTAGTTGCCCACCCCTCGCATACATATCCAAGAGTGCATTTTGCACGAACTTGTCACCTTGCCAACCCCTCTTCACTATGTAAGAGTGCATGTCTTTGCCCTGATGGAATTCCCCACTCCGTGCACATGCAGGGAGCACGCTCACCATCGTGGTAGGGTTTGGCTTGAGCCCAGAAGGCTCCATTCTCACAAAGAGCTGCAAGGCCTCTATATCAAAGCCGTTTTGCGCATACCCTGTGATCACTGCATTCCACAATGCAATGCTCCAATCTGAAACCATTTCAAATACATGAAGAGCTTCTTGAACCCGACCACAATTACAATACATGTCAACAAGAGCGCTTCCGACATAGGCATTAAGGAAAAGGTCGTCATTTCTCATGGCATAGGCATGTATCTCAATGCCGTGGTTCAGTGCTCCAGTTTGTGCACAGGCAGGGAGCACACTGGCAAGTGTGACACCATCGGGCTTGACACCAGCCATGGAGCGTAACATGGCCAACGCATCTTCGAACCTGCCATTTTGCGCATAGGCAGCCACCATTGTGTTCCATGACACTAAACCATGATTTACAACCCTCTCAAAAACCATTCTTGCATCACCCAACCTCCCCAACTTTGCGTACGTGGCCATGAGAGCATTGGTTGTGAATGTCTGATCATCGAGCCCTGTTCTTAGAATGTAGCAATGGGCTTCTTGGCAATGGGACAGCAAGCTAAGTTGTGCAGAGGCCTGCAATAGGCTGATCAGAGAAAACGAGCTGGGGCTCACCCCACCCCACACCATGGATTGGAACTCCTGCAGTCAAGGTTCAAAAATCCATCATAAAAGACCATAACACTAAGGAGCCATTAACATTATGTAGTTGTAACAATTGCCACAATGGTTGTGATACAGGAAAACCTTAAGAGAAACCAAAAAAAAGATGTAATACTCCCTAAATTTTGTATTCATTGAATTTATAGATACTAAAAGGGTATTTGCAGATGTAAATTTCTATAATCTTTTTGATAAATGTTATAATGGGTGACATTGAAAAGGAAGCGGAAACAAAGCCGCAAGTTTTCATTTTATAAAACCCACTACAATGGCGATTATGCCATTACTTAATGTCCATTAAAAAACAGGTCTCACGTATTCTCAACAAGAATTTCTGGTCTGTTTTGTCACCGTTAAATAGCATGAAAAGGATTTATTCTCATTATTTCATAAAACATGCCTGCAATGCCCTCTCCCACTGCTCACCCTGGCACAGTGCCCCAATCATCGAGTTCCATGACACCTGATCTCTTTCAGGCATTTTATCAAACACCCTCTTCGCTTTCTCCACAAGCCCACATTTCCCATACATGGTCAGAATTGTATTACCCACTGTCACAGAGGACTCAGAGTACCCAGTCTTAACTGCCTGCGCATGAGCCTGCTCACCAATTTCCAAGCCTTTGAGGCCTGATGCCGCCTTGAGAATAGCAGGAAAGATGAAATTATCAGTAAAAGGTCCAGCCTCAAGCATAACAATGTAGAGGAAGAGAGCCTCTTTGAATAGGCCGGAGCGCACATAACCTCGAATCATCTCCGTCCACAATTGGAGACTTGGTTCGGGGATTTGGCTGAAGGCAGAGGCCGCCTCGGCCATGCTGTTGCAAGAAGCATAGGTGCAGGCGAGGTCAGGCATGAGGTGATGGAGTTTTGGGTGGGTTAGCATTTCAGAGTGGAGGGCTCGGGCCTCGTCTAGGGACGTGGTTCGACTGCAGTCATGGAGCAGGGTTCTGAGCGAGTTCACAGGAAGTGAGAGAATGGGGTTGCGATTTTCTGTTTGCTTGGTATGGGAGAGTTGGAGAGGGAGTGGGGTAAGAGGTGTGTTGGGGTGGAGACAGTACGAGACTAAGGGAGATCCTATCGCTGCAGCCATGTCAATCTCTCTCTCTAACCACCTGTTATCTATCTCTTTACTCCGCCATGGGAGATCCTACCGCTGCAGCCATGTCACTCTCTCTCTCTAACCAGCTGTTATCTGTCTCCTTACTCCGCCATGCTCTTTTAATCTCGCTCGGCCGTCAGGCCATAGTTTGTGGCATAGGCCGTGCTTTTTTGGGCCGGCCCCACTAGGATTGTAAAATTCGGGCCGGCCGTCCGGCGGGCCCGACTAGTATTGCACATTTCGCTTAGGTTCAGCCGAAGAGGCCGAAGCCTTCATATTTTATGTCTAGATTGTTGAACGGAAGCTTGCAGTTGCTGCTTCAGTAGCCGGAGAGGTCGAAGCTTTCAGATTTTAGGCTTACATTGAAGGGAAGCTTGCAGTTGTTGTTTCGATTAGATTCTGGCAGAAACTTTGATCGCCTAAGCAAAGAAATATTTATATAAAAAATTTTTTTGTTGTTTAAAATTTTTGTTTTTATTTTTTATATAAATGTTTAATTTATTCATATGAAATTTTAAAAAAAAAAACAAAGCTTTCTTCCAAATCGACCGAAGCACCGAATTGCTTCAATAAAACTCCGAAACGAAATATCTATATAGAAATATTTTTTGTTGTTTGAATTTTTTATTTTTTATTATTTTTATATAAATATTTAATTTATTTTTATAAATTTTTTAAAAAATAAAAACCTTTCTGCTAAATTGGCCGAAGCACCGAATTGATTCAATAAAACTCCAAAGCCAATCGACGACTGCCAGCCCTATGCCAAAGAGAACATCAGTTGTTATATGATAGCTTTTGCTATTCAAGTTATAGCACTCATAACGCTCAAAAAGTTGGGTAAACGGGAAATGGGGGGAATGACAGTCACTATAAATGAAAGATTTGGGAATTTTGGGAAACTGGTTTCTATGAGGAATGTAAACGTTTGAACCCGAATTAGAAATTCAGCTTTATGATGGAGATTGCAACGGATTATGATTCTACTGTAAATATCATTGTGATTATTCACTAGAATGTACTATAGAAATCAACTGCTCCTCCACTCAAGTTCATTGCTATCAATAGTTAATCTCATTAACAATATGGATGTTAATTCATGTTTTTTCAAGTACTATTTCGAATTCATGATTTCTGCAAGAGAAAAGGCCATTTACTAAAGCTTGGAGGAGCAGAGAGGTCAGGCTTTCTCAGCCAAAAGAGTATAATGTTTCCGCAAAATTCAATAAGCAAGACTCTGAAATATAAATCAGAAAAAAGGGATTGTAGCTCCCATAAGCAAGACTCTGAAACATAAACCAGAAAGAGGGATTGTAGCTCCCAAATTTTATTCCGTTAGAATATTTTACACTGTTTATACTGAACCTTAAATCCTAAACCCTATACCCAAAACCCTAACCACAATCAAAATTTCAGCCAAAAACACTGATTTCAGGCCGATCCAGCCACCGAATATCAAACTACAATTAAAATTTCAGCCAAAACATGATTTCAGGCCGATCCAGCCACCACATATCAGACAACAAACCACCCACCGAAACAGGCCAAAAATTTGAAAAAATATATGGGGAAAACAGTGCCTTCTTCCAAATCTTTACCCATATGGGGGCCAATTCAAGAATTTGCGCCCCACCATGGAAGGTGGCATATACTCTTGTTCAGTTGGGCCACTTTGTGAAGGAGGATACACATAGCCTTCGCCATATCCAAGCTCTTTCATCAGCTTCGTGGGCGCATTCCTCAGATGCATTGGCACTGGCTCGTTTTGAGCCCCCACCTCTCTCACCACCCTCTGCGCCTCCCCAATCGCCTCATAAACTGCCACTGACTTTGGCGCCAATGCCAGATATGCAACGCATTGCGCGAGGCAAACATTGCACTCAGGCATCCCAATGAAATGGCACGCCTGATAGCAAGCCACGGCCTGTGTAAGAGCTGCTGTGTCGGCCAGCCCCACATCCTCACTCGCGAACCTCACAAGCCGTCGTGCAATGTAGAGTGGCTCCTCGCCACCCTCGATCATGCGCACAAGCCAGTACAGTGATGCATCAGCATCCCCTCCGCGCATTGACTTGTGGAGTGCACTGATAAGGTTGTAGTGCTCCTCGCCGGCACGATCGTATGCCAAGTGTTTGCATTGCATTGCTTCCTTCACGTCGTCAATGGTCACTTTCATGAATGAGATGGTGTTGCTTGTGCCGTCGCCATCGTCCGAGGAGGTAGCAGGGGGGTCAGAGGAGGAGGCAGTAGGGGCTAGCTTGAAGGATGGGGTGTAGGTTACGGCCTCACGCCCACCTTCAAACCTCTTGAAAGGTATAGAGTTGGATGCAGGGTCCTCAGTTAGAGTTTGCCGGCGCACCGCAGCTGAGCTAGCGGCATTTTCTAATGCGTTGAGGGCAACTCGTGCATCACCCTCACACCCACTCGCAAGCAATTGTATGGCCTCAGCATCGACATGAACACCAGACACACTCAACGATCGTAGCGAGGGGACAAGGCCACGAATGGTATCAGAGACGGCTCTCTCGATGAGGATAGCGACATGTGGAGGCTCGAGCCTCTTGAGTGTGAGGACTGTGCACCTGGAGAGCAATGGTGTAACCAAATGGAAAGAAGGGTTCTCAGTGGTGGCCCCGAAGAGAACAATGCTACCGTCCTCGACAGCAGGCAGGAAGGAGTCCTGCTGCGACTTGCTGAAGCGGTGCACCTCGTCGATGAAGAGGACCGTCCTCAGCCCCTGCACCTTCCTTAACTTCCGTGCCTCATCCACCGCGTCCCGCACCTCCTTCACACCGGCGGTCACTGCCGAGAGGGAAACGAAGTGGTGGGTATGTGAGGCAGACCGAGCGATGGCACGGGCAAGGGAGGTCTTGCCGGTACCCGGTGGGCCCCACAATATGATGGATGGCAGGCGATCGCATTCCATGGTCACCCTTAATATGGATCCTTTCCCCGTGAGGTGGTCTTGCCCTACAACTTCGTCGATGCTTGTTGGGCGCATGCGTTCAGCGAGTGGGGCGTTCAATTGGGGTCGGGTTTGCGATGCCGGGGGCTTGGCCAAGTCCTTAGGGGCGAGTAGGTTCCAGCTCGAGCCCTTGAGCTTCTTCAGGGGTGGCTCTGCCTCTGACTCTTGCTCCCGCGCTTCTTCTTCGATTGTCTCTGTATTTATTTGGGGATCCATGGTTTTTTCATTTTTGGGTCTCAAAGTGGGGGAAGAGGAGGAGCCGTGAAAGTAGTGATCGACTCGACCATGCTGCTGGTGTGGCTTCATTGGAGGAGATGGGGTTGAGGATTTGTTGTTGAGGATCCATTCTGTGGCTTTCACAATGGACTTTCCCCCTGTTGCTGCTAATGCCTGGGATGCAAGGTCTTGGGGAAACCCCATATTCAAAAGTTGGTCCATCTCTTCCCAAACCCTAATAACCCTAATTCTACACTGCGAACTGGAGGAGTGAAAGGGCCCTGGCTTCTCCACTCTAATCCGGAAATAGAGATGAGGGAGGGTTTCTTCTTGAAGTGGTACTCTGCTGGTTTCTTCTCTAATACTTTAGTGGAGATTCGACAGGGAAGATGTATGCGAATTTGAGGGTTTATTTTTCCATGTGAAATTAGGGTTTTGGTGGGGCTTTTGATGAGGTGAAAAGCATGGTGTTATGGTGTGGAGGGAACCGATACACCCGTGTTGGAGGCGTAAGCGACAGGAAATGCCGCTCTTTCTCTCTCCCAATCACTGCACAACTCTACTCTACTGCACTACATTTGCGGCTTTTGCACTCTCCTCCAATTTCCTCAACGCTTACTCTTGTTTCCTTAGGCGGTCGGCTTGTTCGCATTCTATGGACATCGTGGTGGGAATCGGTTTTGCGAATAAAGGATCATGTCTGGCTTCGGTGCTGCGCTTGACGGGCGAGAATGGCCAGGCCAGGACCCAGCCCTGCCCTTGTCGGACACTGTGGAGGGAAATGGTTAAGGATGGCAACAGATCAAGGCTGGCCCTGGACCTGCCCAACTCCTCAAAGCCATGGCCTTGGCCCTGGCCCTCGTCCTACAAAAGCTACGCCCCAAGACCCGGCTAAAAGCAAATAAGAAAAAATAAGAGAAAAATGAGGGTCACACTAGCTCGAACTGGGCTAGCACAGGCCCTAGCTTGATCCTCGGGCCCCAGTTTGTAGTCTAGGTCTTACTTTTTTCGGACCTGGCGGCCTAGCTCATTGCCAGCCCTATTAGTGTCAGAGCATGTATATATATATATATATATAGGGTGCAGTTTGTATAGAGCCTAAGCTCTAAATAATCAAATTAGAGCCTACCTTCAAATAGTATTGAGAAATGTGGTCTCAATACCATAAATCTTTGTGATAGCCTTAAAATATATTTTCATATTTATTTATAAATTTTAATGCATAAAAAATAGTCTAGATTGACAGATTTATGAAATCTTGAAAATTGATGGCCCAAAAAAGTGTTACAAAATACACTATTTCCAAAACTTGAAATCTTTTTTCTTTCTCATGTCCATGGAGCTTGATGTCGAGATGTTTAATTTGAAGATATTTGGGCATCAAAACAACCTCTTCTAGTGAACATATACGATTGTTAAGAGGGCTCCATATAAACTT